CTTCAGCCCAGCTCCGGAAGCGTGGTCAGTCCGGTGGTGGCGGTGGATGAGCAGCACAGACGAGGGAGTGGCTGTCCCTTCCCTGGGACACCCCAGAGGGGACTCCTCTTCCTCCTCCTCCTCCTCCTCCTCCCGTGGCACATCCCTGCAGCGCTTCCCTCGCCTCGCAGGGCCCGAGGAGCGCGGGAGGGCGGCGGGGCTCACACGAAGATGTGGATCCTCTCGCGGATGGCCTGGCGGCAGATGGGGCACACGGTCAGCGCCGTGCTGCAGTCTGGGCACGAGCCGTGCCCGCACTGGAACACCAGCTTGATCTGGTCGTCGATGCAGATGGGGCAGGTGATCCTCTCCTCCATCTGCCGGTAGCGGCTCTGCAGCTCCTCCATCAGCTTCCTCTGCTCCGTGCCCTCCGAGCTGGGGCTGCACTGCACCTCCGTGCTGTCTGCGGGCAGAGCTCAGCGTTAGCCAACTCTGACCAACGCCCGTCGCTCGGCTTTCCGGATTTTAAAACTTCAATAATAATGAAATGGTTATAAAAATGGTAATGCAATTAGAGTAATAAAGTTTAGAGTTAGGACAATTGTAAGACAATAAAAAGCAAAGAATTACGGACGTAAGGATGCTCTCGGACACTAAGTCACGGAAACCATGCCTTGTGAACAAAGGAATAACCCTTAAAACAATACACTAATGCATATTCATACATCCTTCATGGTTATGCATACATTCTATTTAAAACAACAACTCTGTCTGTTGTATGTCAGCTGTTTCCTTTCATCCCCACAGCGTCTCCGAGTCTGAGCAAGGCCTGAAGAAATTAGCTTCTTCTGATAAGAAATCCATAAATTCCTTTTCTTTGGAAGATTCAGGTGTTCCTGGAAGTGAGTATCCCATTCCTAAAAAAAAATACTCCCCACACATCCATAGTCTCTATTTCAACATTATCTTGGAACCTAAAACTATATTTAACACACTACTTTAGAGAATTAATACAGCATCACTTTCTAACATTACACATATAATATTCATTGTAATGTTTGTGAAAAGCCGATCATAAAATATGCATTTTTCACATTAACTAATTAACCAATTAACCCCCCCTTTTGCCCCTCCCAGCAGCATCCCACTCACATGGCACTCAGCCTCAGCCAGGGATCAAATAAAAATCCTTCGGGTGATGCTGATTCTTTTTGACTTGCTCAGTGGTTTGTGTGTGTTTGGGATGGTTTGGTGGTTTGGGTTTCCTTTAAATCCTGCCTGAGATTCCTGCCTTGGTGCTCTGGAATATGCTGCTCACGTCAAATGCAAATATTCAGAGTTGGTTGTGATATTCTGCCCCACTAATCCAGGAATCCTTACAGGGCACTGCGTTCTCTCAGCCTCCTGGTCACATTTGGGACTCCAATTTCTGCCTAAGAAATGTCTAAGAAATGTGTGTGTGTCTTTCAGGACACACAGTCAAACAAGAAGAAACCACCTGAACACTTGTGTTGAGTTTACATAAATTAAGCAGTTTTCATTTATATAAATGAAGAGTTTTACATAAATAAGAGTCATTTGGTTGACTATGTGAAATGAAAGAATCCCAAATCCCAATAACTGGAGTTTGGATAAATATTCTCAATGCAGCTCTCACTGCTCATCTTCTGCTCCTGAGTCATTGATTTACACTTCACTACAGCTGTCCCATTCCTAATTCTGGAATTAGCAGCACATCAGTGGTGCAAGAAGTGATTTCAAATCCAGTCCTTGGGAACAGAGTTTGTCAAAGGCAAGCACTGAAGACATCACTGCCAGGGAAATCCTGCTGGTATTTCAGAGACCTTGATTCTCCTCCTCCACTGGAAATTTGCCTGCAAGTGTCTTCTTTGGAATTCCCATCATTATTTTGCTGCCAGTCTGCAGCAGAGACAAATGCTCCTGTCCACTGACATGTCAAAAGCAGGATTTTTGGCATGATGGAGTTGCAAAGAGGAGTTCTGACTCTGCCAGCTGTGCATGTCCAATGCCATGGGACTGATTCCTGCTTTTTTTCCAGGCATCCAGTCACAAGGCTGGAGCCTGACTCCAAAAAAAAAGCCCACAGTGCTCAGTCACGAGCAGCAGGACGTTCAATTAAATCCTCACGTGCCCCGAGACTGATCCCAGCCCTCACAACCACTCTGGAAAAGGTTTCAGTGGCAACTTGCATCAATGCCATGGCAAAAACAAACCCTGCTGACACCACAGCTCATCCTGACACTGGGAACTGTGGACAGGAGACAAATCTGGGCAGAAAACCTTTACTGAAATACTCTGAGATTTCTGCATAGCTGGCTCATGCACAGACACTGATTTCTCATCCAGGGGAGAAGCAAGGCTTGTACAAGGTGTAATTTTCCCTTTCTCATGAATTTTCACTGTTAAACCACCCCATGTGAAATTTGACTGCTTTCAATACAAAAAATAAGCCAGGCCCAGGTAAAGCTCCCTTAAATGTCCTGTCCTGTCTATGCAGCTTGAGCTTGGCTTAGGACATCTGAGCAGATCTATTAAAATGTACTTTTTTTTCCCCTCTCTAAAGGTGGATAATGCAACAGGCACACACACACACAAAAAGCCAAAATAAATGAACTCTTATTTCACTGAAAATCACTGGTGCCTGTGCAGGCCCCTCCCCACAGCCCTGACCAGGAGGACAGCCACGACATACCTTGTTTCAGCTTTTTGGTTATTGTCACTTGACATTTGATGCACTTCTTCATCCTCCTGGAGCATTCTGCCACAAGGAGAGATGACAATGAAACCCACAGCAGACTGATGAAGACCAGATTTGAACAACCTGAGGCCTCCCTGGGTGATGAAGGGATTGCTCCTGCACGGAATGAGGTCGCTCCCTGCTTTCTGAGCTGTGCCCTACTCTTTTATTTCATTTTTCCCAGGTCAGCAGCAAACACAGCACCTTTAAATCCCCCCTGCTCTGTGCCCCTGCAGCTCTGGGGGAAGAGGATGAAGCTCTGAGCAAACTCCCTGTGCTCACTCACTCTGTGCCTTTGAGATGAACTTGCTGGCAAGTCTGACAGGCTGCCCTTCAATCAGCTGAAATCCTGAAGAGTGAAGAGTTAGGAAAGCCAGAGGAGAGGGAAATCCTTCTCAGGAGGTTTCTGGGGGATAAAGCACTGACAGCCACAACTGGCTTTCCCTCTGAATTACCCAGGCACCTCTAAGCCCAACAAAGCTGCCTGGAGTCCCAAGCAGCAGGTGGGCAGAACATTCTGTGTTTTCCAGAGATAACTTTGGCTGCCTGAGATGCTGAAATCATGCTGGGGTTGCTTCAGGACACAAACAGCACAAAAGCTCTGTGTCTGAGCAGGGCTGGATTTCTGACAGGGCAAAGAGGGAGGCTGGGAAGAAAACCATTAAAAAAAAAACCAAAACCAGTGTGGACTCACCTTCACACACAATACTGTGCTGGCATGGGAAGAAGTGGATGAGCAAGGCCAGCTCTGAGCACACCAGGCACTCTGTGGGCACTGCCACGCTGGAGACGCTGAGGTTGGTCATGGTGTTGGGCGTGGTGTGCACACGGCGAAGGCTGCAGGTGATGGTGGAGCTGTCAGAGGAAACCTGCTGATCCCTGCAAGCAGGAAATGTGAGAGATGGGAGCCACAAGCTCCTTCAGCACTGGGTAATGTCAGATTAAGCCTTTTCCTGACCCAGGGATGGGGTAACTGAGAGGTGCTTTAAAAACATCTTTCATTGTTCTATTTCTCAAAAGTATTTCATATCTTTTTTTGGTGATTTATCCTATAAAACTTGTTTCTAATTCAATTTTTCTTATCTCAAAATTTACATGCAGATATTTACATACATACAATGTGAACTCTCTGTTAAGTTTTAAGAATTTTCTGCAAATCCATTTCCCACGGGTAACACTGAGTTACCTCTGGGTTACCCCACAGAGCAGCACAGGCTCAGGTGGATAAACCTGGGAATCTTCCCTGCCCTGCTGGGACAAGCTCAGCTGGGATCCTGACTAGTTCTGCCCAAAAAAGAAAGGAAAAGAGCAGGGATCTCTAATTTATATCCTTTTACACAAATTGAATCTGCTATTTTGGAGGTAACAGGAAGGTAACAGCACAGTCATCTGCAGAAAACAGATAATAATAACAATAATGAGACAATAATAGTAATAATAATGAGAAATGTCAACCTGACAGAAATGACATTTTTTAAGCAAAAAACCTCAGTCCAACATGTATTCCCCTGAGAGAATTCCCGTGGAAGGTTTTTTTCACCTGTTATTTGCAGTGGGCAATGAGCAGGGCTGGGGGGCTCCTCCTGCAGCAGAACAGCACAGCCTCTGTGCCCTCAGATCAAACAGAACTCTGCTTCCACGTGTGCAAAGCCCAAATCCAAACAAAGCTCAGAACCCCAGATAAAGCCAGCTTTGAGTTGCCATACTCTCCTTTTGGCATTTCCTCAGCTGTTTCTCTTATCAGCTTCAAAACAAACCTTCATCCAGCCCTGGAATAAATCCTGGGGGTTTTGGTGCCCACTCTTGTTGTGCTCTCTTTAAATGTCTGCCAGTGAGGATCAGATGGAAATAAAACAGAAGCCAGGACTGCTCTGCAAAGCTGCTCTCAGTGGCCTCAGAGGCTCCTCAGATTGCACAGAGCCTCGTTAATCTGCTTTTCCCAACCCTTCCAAACTCAGCACACACCCTCACATCACCCTGCAGCCACCCCAGAACAAACAGGGCGTGCTCGGGGTGACATCCCTGACACACCTGGGCTGGGGGAAACTCTGCTTTGCAAGGGTTTTTTCCTGAGCCTTACCTGAATTTCTGGGAGAAGTCTTTGACAATCTGGACGATTCTTCCATCTGTGATGAGGTCCAAAGGAGACTTTCCCCGATGATTTGCATAATTAATATCTGCTCCTTCTTGTGCTAAGTAGCAGGCAATGGCAGTCCCAACGTTCAGCTCCACATTTCCCAGGAAGCCAGACGCCTGCAGCTGGAAGAAATTGAGAAAAACCCTCTGTCAACAGAAGAAGCTTCTGATCCTCTGCTCTGACTTGCATCAAAATCGAAATAAAGCCTTAAACCTTGTACTTAAAATTTGGAAGTGCAACTTTTTGAAAGCACACAGAAATTCTTGTTGTCTTTATGTAAATAATGGGTTTAAATCTCACATTGCAGGGCCAGGGGTGCCTCAGAGTGATCCTACCTGGTGCAGATCCCTAAAAATCAGAGAAATGGGCATTCACTTCTTGAGGGAGAAGGATATGTAAATATCCTTTTCGTAAATAATGTGTTTTTTGCTATATGTAAATAATGGGTTTAAATCTCACATTGCAGGGCCTGGAGTGCCTCAGAGTGACCCTACCTGGTGCTGATCCCAAAAATCAGAGAATCCCTCACCTCTCCAGGGAGGGAGAAGGATATGTAAATATACTTTGTGTAAATAATGTGTTTTTTGCTTTATGTAAATAATGAGTTTAAATCTTACACTGCAGGGCCAGGGGTGCCTCAGAGTGATCCTACCTGGTGCTGCTCCCTAAAAATCAGAGAAATGGGCATTCACCTCTCCAGGGAGTGAGAAGGATATGTAAATATCCTTTGAATAAATAATGTATTTTTGGCTTTATGTAAGTAATGGGTTTAAATCTCACATTGCAGGGCCTGGAGTGCCTCAGAGTGACCCTACCTGGTGCTGATCCCAAAAATCAGAGAATCCCTCACCTCTCCAGGGAGGGAGAAGGGAGAAGCTGGGGCCCCACAGAACTGCTGCAGGGCCTGAAGTGACAGCTGCTTCAGGAGCCAAATTCTGATGTGCATGATCCCAAATAATTTCAAGTCAAGTCACATATTCCACTGACCTAAACAGCCAGAGTGGGTCAGTCAGGGCAAGTAAAATTAGCTGGGAAGGAATCTCCAGCATGTGGAGCTGGTGTTACTGTACATAAGCCTGGGAATGGCAGCACGGATCCTGTGCAGGACATCAGCTCCTGCTGGCCTGGAAAGGAGCAGGGTGGAGGAGCAGTGCCTGGGCTCTGCAGGCACCAACAGCTAAAAAAGAGGAATGCCTGCTTGCACTTAGTCTAATAACTTCAAATATAATAACAATAGGAATAGGAATAAGAATAGGAGGAAGAATAGGAGCAGAAGAAGAGGAGGAAGATGAAGAAGAGGAAAGAAGAAAGAAGAAGAACAACAAATTATCAATAATAAAAATAATAAGTTAATGATGAATAATAAAATAATTAAATATATTAAAACCATAACAACAACAATAAGAATAATAAATAAAATAAATTAATAACAATATAAAAGTTAATAAAAATAGATAATAAAATCATTAACATGCAACAAAAAAAACCCGAACAAAATCACCACCACCACCACCATAATAATAGTAATAGTAATAGCAGTAATAACAACCACAACAACAATTTATGCTGGATTTGCAAGTGAATTAAAAGATCCCTGCACCTCTGGCCCATACAGCAGTGATTTCCAGATCTTTACATCCATCCATATATTAATTATATTATATTATATTATATTATATTATATTATATTATATTATATTATATTATATTATATTATATTATATTATATTATATTATTTATCTGTATATATATACACATTCAGTATCTGTGTTAATATATAAGTATATAGAGATCTGTATATATTATATATATATATATACACACTCTAAATATATATTTTTATATATTATATATACCACATTCTGTAACATGTAAATATATATAATATCACTTATATATTATATATACTTCACAATCTTCATATATAATGTAATGTAATGTAATGTAATGTAATATAATATAATATAATATAATATAATATAATATATATATTATATGTATATATATACTGTCTATATCTGTTTATATATATTATCTCTATATATAGATATATATTATCTATACATACACATTCTGTATATATATAGACATAATATATTATTTAATCTATTATATATACTATATATTACTTTATATATTCTACATATTATAATATATAGAATGTATGATATATTCTATATTATATATTATAAATAATATATATTAATATATATAATATATAAATATATAATATATATAATAATGTATATATGCCACACACATATATATATATGTAGCATATATGTTATATATATACCCCACATATATATATGCACGTGTATATATAAAATATACACACACCACATTCTGTAACACATAACTATATATCCCATAGGTCATATACATTCAATACACTATATATTATATATAATATATATATATATTTTATTTTTTTATTTTATATTTTATATATATATTTTATATATTATATATATAATTATATATGTAGTGTGTATTATATATATGCTATATATTATATATGATAACTATTATTTTATGTATTCTATATAATATATAGAATATATTATATATTTGATATATTATAAAGAATATATATTAATATATGATATGAATATATAATATATACAATAATGTATACACACCACATACATATATGTAGTATATATATTATATATATACCCGCCATATCTTTACACGTGGTATATATATAATACCCAGAGCCCACACTGCGCAGCACAGCGCGATGTGCCCCAGCCATTCACACGGGACGCCAGTGCAGGTCACTCCCCGTCCTTCCCGTCGCTGACCTTGGCCAGCAGCGCCGCTCCCGTGTCGCCGCCGCGTTTCTGCAGCGCCAGCGCCAGCAGCTGCTGCCGCTCCAGCGCCATGTGCATGGCCGTGTCGCCGTCCTCGTCCTCGGCGTTGACGTCGCTGCCGCGCTGCACCAGCAGCTGCACCATGCCCACGTGGCCCTGGATCACGGCCAGGTGCAGCGGGCTCTGCCGCCGGCTGTTCCTCACGTTCAGCTCGCAGCGGCCCTGCAACAGCAGCGGCATCGGCAGCTGCGGCAGCTGCAGCATCCGCAGCAACTGCGGCATCCGCAGCAACAGCAGCATCCACAGCAACTGCAGCATCTGCAGCAACTGCAGCACCTGTAGCATCTGCAGCATCCGCAGCAACTGCAGTGACTGCAGCAACAGCAGCAGCATCGGCAGCTGCGGCAGCTGCAGCACCTATGGCAACAGCAGCATCCGCAGCAACTGCGGCATCCGCAGCAACTGCAGCATCCGCAGCATCCACAGCAACTGCAGCATCCACAGCAACTGCAGTGACTGCAGCAACAGCAGCAGCATCGGCAACTGCTGCAACTGCAGCAACTGCAGCAACTGCAGCACCTGTGCAACTGCAGCAACTGCAGCACCTGTGCAACTGCAGAAAGTGCAGCAACAGCAGCACAGGGGGATGCAGCTGCGCAGCCGCGAGCCTGGGGCCTGGCAGCTCCCAAATCCAACTTGGAGTGAGATTTTACTCTGCTCCTCACAAGGAGCACCGATTTGTCAGATAATAACCAATTGTTATTTATTGTTTATGTAACACCCTTTTCTGACCTAGAGATGGGGCAGCTGAGAGGGGTTTGAAAAACTTTTATTTAGGTAGGGAAATAATTTGGAACAGGCTCTTTCCTAACTTTTTTTCTCCAAATGCTTTATAATTAATACCAGATAAAGCATGGAAGTTTTCTTGGTCCATCTCCTCCCTGCACCTGGCTTGGCATTGGAGATTTGAATTCACTCTGATAAAGAAGTTAAATCTGTTTGTTACTTAAAACAGAAAAGGGAAACCAGGGTTTATCAGTGCTCACTCAGGAGTAGGTGGGAAATGTGAGGCTTGGGAGTGGGACAGGTTTTGTTGATTTTGGTTTTGAGTCATTTCTTACCTCTTTGATGAGAATTTCAGCCACTTCCATGTGGTTATTGAGAGCAGCAAGGTGCAGGGCAGTGAATCCATCTTCCTTTTTGGAGTCCACCAGCTGCCGAGCCCTGGCCAGAATCTTCTTGGTGGCTCTACAGAGTTGGAGAGGTTATTAAAGATGGAAGAATGAATTTCTGCCTCTCCTGCTCAGGAGTCAGCAATGTCTGTGTTTTACCAGGTGGTTCTGACAGCAGCAATGAAGAGCAGTCCCTTCAACCCACAAACTGAATTACAAAAATACGACTAAAGCCCTCAGTTGTCTTTAATAAAGTAGAGAAAAGCCACATTGCTTTGAAAATTATGAGCAGATTTATCTTTGGAGGAGTTCCAGAGGCTCCCAGGATTTACTAAGACCCAAACATCTGAGACTGCCCAGGAGCAGAGAGACTTCCCAGCCTGGGGAAGCCTGAGAGAGGTGGGAAAAGCAGGCAGGAGGTTCCTGTGAAGGAGGCTAACAACCCTATCCAGCCATGTTCAAACCAAAGAAATGTTTAACCAGCTACCCAAAACCCCACCTGCCACCTTCTTATCCAGCCAGCACAAATTAACATCTGCAAAAGGCATAAAAATGGGGAAAAAAAAAAAAAAAAGGCAAGGTGACTCACAGCTTGTTGCCTTTCAGGGCAGCATAGTGGAGCAGGTTGAAGCCTTGACAGTTCTGGACAGTGAAATCGATGTTGGGAACTTCCGTGAGGATCTCAATCAGGACTTTGTGGTCCAGGGTGATAGCATAATGCAGGGGGGTGTCTCCCTGGGAATCCTAGCCATGGAGACCAAAGCAAAGCCAGGTTACCAACCTCAGAAACCCCAAGGAAAGCTGCTGCAACTCCTGAGGGGCTGACCCAGCCCAGAGCAGCCCCATCAGCACACAATAAACCCGAAAAATGGGCTGGGTCCAAGTCACCATCACTGCCTGCCTTAAAAATGTTAAAAATCTTGTTTCTGGGAATAGGAGTGTGGGTACAGCACACAGGAAGAGCAGCTCAGCTCTCCCTGAAAGCCTGAGGCCAGCAGAAAATGCTCATGTGATGAAGAAGGGGCAGACTCAAAGCTGAAATTTCAGGATACTGAAATTCAGGAATATTTCCCAGTGCCTTTTCAAAGGAGAAATTTGAATTCTACAAAGCCACAGACGGTGTGAGACATAAAGAAGTATATTATTGTTGTTAATAATGAAGGGATGGGACTGTTTTTGGGCTAAGAACTATTTATTGTTTAGATAAACTTTAGTCTCAGAGGTTGTGAGATTTTAAGGGAGTTGGCAATAGCTGAAGAGTAGTCACGAGTTCTTTGTTATAAGGTAATTTATAATTTTTTAACCTGATAGACAGTTGTTACAAGGTTTATTCTAGTTTTCTAACTTATTACCTTTACTTAATTTTGTTGCACTGTGGATACTTTTATCTTATGGGTTTCTGTCTCATGTCTATATATATGTTTCTATTATAACTTCTAAATTCTTAGCTTATTTTATAGAACTACACTTTACTAAACTCTACTATTTTATCAACACAATTCCTTACTTAAGGTATATTCTTACAACTACAGAAACATGTTTATGATTTTTTTGCTTAATGTTCGTGTACTGTATTTTTACATTCATCTAAGCTTCTCTCGAGGCTGTAAATCAAAATTTCTCACAGAGAAGCACCTCCCAACCTCAAAAAAAAATCCCCAAAAAATTCCTCCAACACCTCCCTGCCCCGAATGGCTGCAAGCCAAACTTACTGGGAGGTTGACATCACAGCTGAGCTGGCAGAGGGCTCGGACCACCTCGGTGAAGCCCTGGCTGACGGCGACGTTCAGCGCTGTGCACTTGGCATTGTTCAGCAGGTCTGCACTGGCCCCCTTGGCCAGCAGCACACGGGCAACTTCAGCTTGGTTCCTGGTTTAAAGCAAGGGAAAAAACAGATTTCAGTCACTCCACTCAATCCTTTGTCTTTTGCAAAGCAACAGAAATCAGGTTTTGTATCCTCTCGGCACCACCCTGCCTCCTCTCAGTGTTAAAAAAGCTGTTGTGCTTTGTTTTTTTATTGTTAGGGTTGGGATGAAATGTGTGAGATGGTATTTCTTGTTTGGATTCAGATGTTTATTCGTTTTTATCTATTAGTTTTTATCTGTTATTTAGTTTTATCTATTACAGTTTTATAAACTGTGAGTTCTAAAGTACTGTAATAAACCAAAAAATGGTGCTGCATTTCTTTATTTATAAGCTTTTTTAAGGATAAACTAATTAAGAAAGATACTTAAAGTATTTTTATTTTAACTTAATAACTAACTACTTGTGGCTTGTAATGTGGATTTTTAAAATCTAATTACACAATAGTACTTAAATTCATGAAGAGAGAAGGATTCGTTTCTGCTTTAAAACTTTGTTTTATATATATATTACTGTATTCTAAAACTTTAAACTTTAAATTTTCTACTATGTGATATTACACACATCTATTTAAACTATACACTCATAATCTTAGTTTTATCATTTAATTTTGGAAGCTTTTTTCACAGCCTCAGGTCAAATGCAGTGTTCTCTTGGGGGTCAGTGCCTGTCAGCACAGAAAGTCTAAAAGTAACCAGGGTTCCAACATAAAACCCCACAAAACCTTCCTAATTAATTATTAATTCCTAATAATGCTCTCTGCTCTGAACCAACAGGAATTCCCACTCTTAAGGATGAATTCTTCCCTGCTAACTGATGATACAACTCAAAATCCCATCTTGCTCTGGAAAACACAAACTTAGAGAAACCAACCAGACAAATTGATCTGAATCCATTACATCCCCTTGAAAAAAAATGTCATCACTAAAACCTCCTTATCAATTTTATTTTCCTTTCTGATTCCCCCTGAAAATTCCTAGCATGGAAACCAGCCAGCTGTGAAGGATAAGAAATCTTTGTGCTAAGAAATCCCGTGCTAGATAAAAATCTGTGGAAGAGGTTTTACAGTGACTTCTGGGAGCCAGAGAGAAGTTGGAGAAGAGGATCCATGTTTACCCCTAGGAAGAATTTTATACCAAAGTCATTGACATGGAAACCAAGGAAAAAAGAAGGATAAATAAGAGAAACCTGCAGCTGCCTATTGCAACGAGCACTTGGTTTTTCTCTTGTGACCAGTGAGTAAACTTAGGAGTTTTGTAAGAATGTATAAAAAGCATGCATGAATAAAAATGGGTTTAAAACCTTCTGAAAATGGAGTGCTGCTCTGTACTGTGACCATCTCAAGTATGACAGAAATCCTTCTGGATAGAAGGATGCTGCTGTAGAGGAAGAAATCCTCCTGTGGGCTGAAGCTCAAAGGCTAATTCCCAACATGGAAAGCAGAGGAAAGCTCCCACCAGAAGGAAGAGAGATCCATTTGGATCCATTTGGATCCAGGACAGAGGTTTTCCATCAGGGACAGCAGCAGGGGAGGTGTCCTACCCAAAGGCTGCGTAGTGCAGCGCCGTGTCCCCCTCGTCGTCACGCAGGTCCACGCTGGCATGCGCCTGCAGCAGCGTCTTCACCACCTCCAGGTGCCCCTGGTAAGAGGCAATCTGCAGGGCAGTCCTGCCCTGGTTCTTGGCATCCACCTTTGGGAAGGGCAGAGACACAGAAAATTAGGGATGGCCTCGCTGTGCCCGGAGCAGGGTGGGAACAGCCCAGGAACCCCACGGGTCCGTGCCCTGCTGGCTCCTCTGCTGGCCAGCAGCTCCCAGCTGAGCCTGGCCCAGAACTTTCTGCAAGGGGAAGGGGGCAGCACGTTCAGCCAGGAGGGGAGAAGTGAGAGGGCAGAGCTGGCAGCTCTGTAATTGCAGAGCCCTGCTGCCAATCCGCTCCTTGATCCCTGTGCCAGCAATTCCCTTCCCCGGGGGACAATGGGTGAGGAAATCCAATTAGCTTTGCAGAAGGCTCTGGAGGTGCCAAGTCCCTGCTGTGCTCTGCTGCTGCAGGGACTTCAGGGGGTGCAGGGACATCTCAGGGCTCAAGTGCTGCAGTGAGAGTTTTAGAGAATTCAAAGCACTGAAGGACAAAAAACAAAGCAAAGCAGTGGAGGCTAAGGAGAGGAGAAAGAGGCACAAAACCTCAGCAGATTGGCAAGGAGAGCAAATTAATAATCCAGTAATAATCCAGGTTTTACCCCTGCAGCAGTCAGAGCACAGGAGGGGCAGCACTGCCCTGGATAGGCTCAAAATGATGGGTGAGTGCTTTGGGCAAAGAGGAATGCGAGGTCACTGCTGCTCTTCCACTTACACCAGGCAGACAGTGCTGATAAGCTGGAAAAACCCTGCCAAAGCAATTTCAATTTGCTCTAAGTCAGCCTCAAATCCAGCCTGATCTCTCTGTAAAACTCAAATAGAAATAGCTAATTTATTAATACAAATATCAGAGTAGAAATAGAAGCCAAATAAAAACAACTGATCATATCATGGATTCTTTACTCCTGGGACTTTCCTATCTGGGATCAATCTGGGAACTGCAGGTATTTGTGTCTCCTTCCCATCCCCAGAAGTTTATTTATAAACTTATATTTATTTATAAACTTAAATGTAAGTTTATAAATAAAGAAGTGTAATAAATACCAGACAAATGATCACTAAATCAGCTTCATGAGACTCTTTCAGAGCTGATCCTGGGTCACAGCCCCACACTCCCAACAAAACCTCTTTTTGTTAGCCATGGTTTCCAAGCACACACTGCTGAAGACATTGGTGGTTTGGGGTTTTCTGCCCTGTTCCTAAACCCTGAGCCCCTCCCTGAAGGAGTTTCAGGAGATGGGATCCTGACATTTTGGCACTCTGGGAGCACAGAAATCGTCCAGCAAGGAGTCCAGCCCAGCCCCCTGCTCCAGGCAGACAGCAGATAAGACACTGCACAGATCTGGGCAGCTTTTCTCCCTCCTGATTGCAACAATGGGATTTCACAAGGTCCTCTAAGGACAGGCACAAGCCCTGCCTTTCTTTTCCAGCAGATCCTCTGATTCCTGCTCCTGTTTTCCTATAGATAAACCCCTTTCCTCCTCATTCTACAGCTGCAGTGGCCACACAGGAAATCTGGGAAAAGCCAGCTTGGGGAAGGTGCTGTAAGGAATTCAGTTCAGATTTACTGCCACAATCTAGAGGCATAAAATATGCACATTTAACTTGTGAATTTAATCCTAAATTGCAGCAAAATAATATTCCAGCTGTTAGGAGATACCACTGAGCCTGACAAATCTATTGTTTTTCTCACATCCTTTTCCCTGCTTGACTACAAAATTTTATGTTGATGTTTTAAAGAGGAGAAACAAAGGAAAAATATCCATTTTTGTCTTCCAAACTTGCCTTGTCTGGGTATTTCTGGAGGAGCTCCCGGACTTTGGCTGCGTTGTTGAGGGCTGCACAAATGACCAGGCACCCTGCATGCTCTGACTCTGTCCTCTGGGACAGCAGCTTCTCCAGGACAGTCACCAAAGTACCTGAAAAGAGACAAAAATGGACCTGTCACCCCCCATCTCTCAGTGTTTGAGGGGACACAGGTGTCACAGCTCCCCAGCACTGCAAAGTCAAAAAATCTTGCAAGTTCTGCCTCAAGTCTGACTTGAGCAAACAGTTCCAGATCCATCTATATCAGGAAAACAAAAAAAAATCCTGGCAAGTCTGTGCTCTCTCCCACACGATCCTGACATCCAAAGGAAATAAGGATGGTCAGGCCACAAAAGAAATGTCTGAGCAGATGTGAAAAGCACCAAAAAAAAAATCCCCTCCACGCACCTTGTGATCCCAACCTCGATTTGAGGGCAGATTAGGCAAAACAATTGATTTCACAACAGTTCCACGCACAGATCTGGGAATATTTCACAAACCCTCAAGAATCAGTGTCCTTGTACAGGAAACTGAGGCACAACAGGGATGAGGCAAATACTGAACCTAGGGCAGAACTGTGCTTAGCAATTCTGAGTCCTACATTCTCTATTCTTCTGTTAAACCCAGCATTTCCAAGTCCTAAAATCTGTATTTTCCTGTCAAGGTCAGTTTGCTGTGCCCAGTAAGGCACAGCTGGGTTTTATTCTGTATTTTCCCATTAATTCCAGCATCTCCATGTCCTAAATCCTGCATTTCCCCATTAATCCCAGTGTTTCCCAGTCCTAAATCTTGTATTTTCCTGTCAAAGCCAGCTTTGCTTGCCCAGTAAGGCACAGCAAAGTTTTATTCTCTATTTTCTCCTTAATCCCAGCATTTCCCAGTCCTAAATTCCAGTGAGTCCTAAATCCTACATTTTCCTGTTAATTCCAGCATCTCCAAGTCCTAAATCCTGCATTTCCCCATTAACCCAAGCATTTCCAAGTCCTAAATCCTGCATTTCCCTATTGTTCCCAGCATTTCCTAATCCTAAATCTTGTATTTTCCTGTCAAGGGCAGTTTTGCTTGCTCAGTAAGGCACAGCAAAGTTTTATTCTCGATTTTCTCATTAACCCCAGAATTCCCAAGTCCTAAATCCTGCATTTCCCCATTAACCCCAGCAACTCCCAAGTCCTAAATCCTGCATTTCCCCATTAACCCCAGCAA